AGCCAGAAGTTTTCACTGAGTTTCCAATTCTTATGTTTATCTTTGAACTACTTTTCTGTTGGTCTGTGAATGAAATATGGCCCCCATCTCACTACAACACAAAGGGAAACAGATGAAGAGTAGGAACCTTTTCTTCTTTCCTGTTTGCTCCTTCACGTTTCTCCCTAATGTTCATGATAATTATGTTAAAACATGTCCACTGAACCACCACAGAACTACCTAAATTTAGATGGAGGGTGGACACAACTGGCAGCCCACAGACATGTTTTGTTTAGCCCACCGTATTTTAAGTTATCTTCAATCAGTTATCAACATTTAAAAATCAGGGGATTTCAAATAAAAATCTTGATTTCTAGCTCCTCCTGAAAAAAAAACCCAAAAAATCAGATGACCTGTCAATACTGGGTTTGTTTTTGCTCACGATAAAACAGAGCTGAGGAAGTGCCCTGCTAGATGAAGTTCCCAGGGTCCAACAATATGCTACTCGGTAAGTTTTACTCATTTATGTAAACTGCACAGCTCTCTCAGGCAATTCCTTCACTTAAAAGATGCAGAAAATGAGGGTCTTGGGAGGGAAAGCTGACCACTTGAGGACTCAGAGCCAGTGAGAGGTAAGGAGGAAGGTAAGTAGGAAGGTAAGTGAGGTTCAGCTATTTTTCTAATACAAGCACTCCCGACAGAATCGTGAGTCCTATCAGCATTTCTTCCACCACTAATTTAAGTTTTCTAAATGGACTCAGTTATATTTTCTTTCATTTTTATTTTTTGCATATTTGCTTCTAAATCAGTTATATTTTTCTCATTTCTTTGCTAGTCAGTCATCCTTTTCATATGATGAATTTCTTTATAGGTAACAACTTTGTATCAGTAATTTCATTTAAACATCAGCTCCAACCTGAAACAATGAATGGGGAGTCAGACAGAACTGCACTATCAACTCTGCACACTTCACTAGATGCAGGACTGCGATTCAGAGGTGCAGAATTCTTAGATAACACAGCCAGTATCCAATCTTGCAGCTCAGGGCTCTATTTGACCATGGCATCTCTGTGCAGTTGCCCAGGTTGTAGGGGACCAACTTCTTCTATGTGAGAAGTACGGAACTCTTCCAAATATTAAGACAAGGCCAGCCTTGACTGCATTCAGAGCTAGGGATCACAGTGAGCTGCAAACCATCCATTTCTAGTATATATCTGCACTGGAAGACAAACTTTCTTTAGATGTGGTATCTGGTAGGTTTATGAATGTCACAGGACTTGGTGGTCTTTGAAGCACTGGTTCTTAGAACAGCTAAGTCCCATGTGAGAGAAGTTGTAACAACCTCATAGCACCTTTGTTTCAACTTCAAAAGAAAAAAAGGCTATGGTAAAAAGCTTTAATAACAGACTGAAGGTGATTTTATAGGCAACCAATTAGCAGATTAATGAACCACTTAACTGTCTTTACTTACAACCAATAGTCCACTCAAGAAAGATGAACTCAAAATGCATCTTCATGTGCTGACCAATGTAACAAGTACAAATGAAGTCAATGGTGACCGAATTAGCATGCTGTGTTGTATGTCGATAAAACAAGCCCTCCCCCACCCCAAGCCCTGGCCCCCCAGCAAACATAGATAAATGATTGTGCACTGCGTGATGATACCATTAGGTGAGAACTTTGGTTCATGCAGTCGGCTGCCACAAGGTTGCACCCGAAACCCACAGCCCTGGCACCCAAAGTCAGTCAGCGGTGCTGGCTTGTGGCATCAGCCGTGCTCCTTCCACAACACCAGGTGAATACTGTGGTCAGGCATGCTGGTGGCAAAGACTAAGCCTGTGTCATTGTGCCCATCCAGTCCGTTCAGCCAGGATGCTTCGCCTGCCAGGAAGCTCGAGCCTCTCTTTGATTTCCTGTACTCCGGCAGAGGCCAGCGACTAATCAGGCTCTCTGTCCTCAAGTCCATGATGTACAGGTAGCGGTTGTCAAACAGCAGGGCAAAGACATCTCCAAAGCCAAGCAAAGCCAAGTTTGCTATCTCAGGAGTCTTGATGACCCTACAAGGACAAGAGTTAGGGACCATGAGCTAGAGGGAGACTTTGCTTCTGTTCATGCTACTGTTAGCTTTTGTAGAGCATTTAACACCAATATAGAATTCAATTAAACTTTTTGTAAATGAAACTTGAAACACAAGGACAAAGTATCAGACCACCTATAAAAGAAAGGTGGGGAACCCTTCACTCTGATAATAACCACATATAAGGGAAGGTAATATTTGAAGAAATCTATAAGGTACAAAACATCCATCCAGTCTGGAAAAATGTCTTATGGATGATCTAACATTCCCTTCCCTAAGCTGGGCAAACTTAAGCCTAGGCAGGGTAAATACTTGGCTGAAGATTCACAACTTGTCAGCCATCAGTGAGAACTAGAATGCAAGTGCAACTCTTACCACCTGGTAAAGAGACTCTCATCAAATCCTAGAACACTGGCACATCCTGAAGTCCAGAACAAATCCGAAAGCTGAGTGACTGAAGTGCTACCTACTTGACAGGAAGTAAGCAAATGGATTTCCATCTAAAATAGTGGAGGCTGAAAATACCAGGTCACAGAATTTTTGCACAGAAAAACATGTCATGACCTTTCGGATGACAATATTAAGTTTCCAAAGTATATGAGAAACAGTTACTAACATAACATTCATAAGTTGTTAGAGAAACTGGGAAAGTTGGGAAGACGGCCCTAACTTCTCAGCATGGTAGTTTCCAAAACATTAGGGACAATGGCATAAAATAAGAGACCTAGCTAAGTAGCAGCACGAAAGAAATAAAACAGAACAACAACTAAATTCTCTTGTCTGCTCCTGTACTAAGGTGAAAGAAAAGTCGATGTCTCACTGACAGCCCGAGGAAAAGAGCTCAGGTGAGGGAGTGAAATTCCACTCTATGACAATACGGCTGGGCTCTGTGGGGGAAATGTAGCCTATGTTTTCACAAGGACACTACCAAACTAATGTACACCCAAGAGGTCAACCAGAATGGGAAGTGACTGGTAACTAGGCCAAGTAAGGAAAACTGAAGGAGAGGAAAAGTCCTGGCAGGGACAGGGAAACTATATATGATCACTACTGATGATGCAGGACATGTAAGAAAGGCAGACAGTACAAGCCCTAAAAGACAACTGGGTTCAAAGGGGCAGATTTACAAAGAAGTGGAGATTTCAGCCTGATATTAGGAAGGGAGGAAACATTTATTTTTTTTAAATCAAATTGGCCGAGTACCAGGCACCAAACTTCCTAATTAACATATTATTGCAATCCTACGTGGTAAAGTGAGAGGCAGTATCTCCATTACACTAGTGAATAAACTAAGGCTGAGAGTAAAGTGGAGTGGGGCAGACCTAAGAGAGCCCAGGACTACCTGCCGCCAGTGTGCCAGCCACTGTTAGCACCAGGAACTTGGTGACTAAGATTAAGTTCTCCCCATTCAACTTATCTCACAATTAATTTATTAACCAAACCTCTATTTTCTTTTTTAGAGAGTTGTTTTTTTTTTTTTTTTTGCTATAGGGTGTGTGTGCTCGCCAGAAAGAGAGAGACAGAAAGCAAGAAATCACCCCCTAGGGGGATGACCATGCTACAATCCTTTCTCCAGTCTCCTCTTGGGATCTTGGGCACACACGCACACGTTCCCGGTGTTGAGTTTAAGCCACCAGGTCCAGGATATGAACCACAGTTGACTACATGGGAGTCCAGCAACATAGCTATTACGCCAATTGTTGGTCCCAACCAAACCTCTATTTTCTCATTTGTACAGGTTAAGTTAGGAAATGTGACAACCACTCAACTTTCCTTCTTTCTCAAATCAAGCTCTATTGATTTTATCTCCTGAATTTTCCTTTAACTTATTCACTACCATCTCCATGACCACAGCTCTGTCCAAGACACTTATCTTTTTGCCTGCATCGTTGCCAAAAACATTCTACAGGTCTTCCTAGTCCCCTTCAATCAGTTAACCTTACATTAAAATCTGATCCTGTTACCACTTTACTTCAAATCTTAAAATCTTTTATACCTGCATTCTGTCCTCTCATCCCTAGAATTTTTTTTTTCAGTTCCTCAGCTGCATCAGGCTCCGTCAGCCACAGGCCCTTCAAACACACCGTTTCCCAGTCAGTACCACCCCTCACTGCACACCTCCCTTGGCACTTAGTTAGGCATGCATGCTCGCCCTTTAGACTCAGCCTGAGAAGGGTCTCTTCCTCAAGGAAGCCTTTCCTTAGTCAACAAATGAGGTGAGGTCTCAAAGTACCCTGTACTATGTTCCTTTTATCCTACCTAGTAACAATTTTATGTAATTAGCTATTTGGTATCAGACTTCCCTCCTGCCAATCAGTGACCTTCATGAGCTCAAGTATCTCTGCTGCTTTCAGTGCACATCACCATGCCTGACACACAGGGAGGTGGCTCTACGAATACCTGCCAGGGAATGATACAGTAGAGCAATGAACATAAAAAAAACACTGGGTTGTCAGTCTTGCGTTAGAAAATACGTCCCAACGACCTAATATAAATTCCTATGAAAGAGCTCCAAAGGAAAATGGCTTGAAAGCCTGGAAAGTACAGTATAACCAGAACCACAGAAAACTGGGCAGCTTTGGGATAGGGCTTAAGATCAGTGACAACGAGCTGAGGATTACAAAGACTGAAACACAAATATGGTGCAGAACAGAACACAGGTCAACAGGCTTTCGGCCCTTTTCACTTTGATCACTTCAGAACTGTAAACAGACATCCCTGCCATGCAGTCCAGGTCCCTGAACCTAAGTAACCCTGTGTGCTGTACCCAGACAACCTAGCTCCAGATTGCATCATCTTGCACACTTACTGAGCAACATGCTCACCCGTGCTTCACTTTTCAGGCTGCTTCAGAATTGAAGGAGTCCTACCTGGTCCTAGGGACTGCAACCACAGGACTTTTACAAGGGTTTCATAAGACATTGGTTTATTTGTGTTTGGAGGGAAAAAAGTAGAGCTACAAGAGTCTCTTTTCAAAGAAAAAGTTGAACCTAGCTCTTCCTACCAGCAAGTAACCTTACAGGGTTTTTTTCCTTAAAGCCATGTGGGATTTAGCTTTCAAACATTAAAAGCTAAAACTTCGATCTAGGACTCTACATCATTCTGGATAGGCGGCATACATTAGGAAGGTAGTGGCACTTGTGTGCATGCCCAGCATGTTTCAGGTAACCTTTATATCTTCTCATCACCCGAAAAATTAAAAGCAATATTAGACTGTAAAAGATGTGATTTTTTTTCAATAGTGACTACTTGAATAATAATAATAATAATAATAATAATGGAAAACACTGAGTTCTTTTAAAAGTTTCGTTTTCTCAATTTTTGGTGCCCCTAGCTTCTTGGTACCTTACCATGCATAACCCAGCCATGGATGGACAGATGTCAGACTAGAGTGAGATGTAAAATGCTGAGCAAGGATTTAGTTTTGCCATCTGTAAAGTGAAGATCTTGGACTAATGTGTTCTAGGCCCTGTTTCAGTCTATTTTCTTCCCAAACCAATATTAGCAATCATTTCTAGAAATTATACTGTCAGCTCTGGAACTTAACTGATTGGAAATGTTGGTTTAACTCTGGAAAAACATAAATAAAGTTGTAACTTTAAGACCAGAGAGATGGGGCTTGCCTGTTGGCTAGTATGAGATCCTATACAAGCTGATCTCAAACGGTCATGCATAAAAACAATGAATGTTCAATTTTCTGTACTCCCCAAAGTCAGCATTTCCTGAACCACGCTATGGAACACAAACTCTTGAGCCAACAGGTCTGGGCAAAATAGGTGTGAAGTACAACAGGTTAGTCAAATCTAAGCAGGTGCCTTTAAGCAGGGCTTCTCTGAGTATAAGTAACAAAGATCTGTCATGGGCTGGCTCTGGGGCATAGTGTAACATATTGCTCAAGAGAAGCTAAATCTCACATGGCACTTGCAATTCGAATCCCTGAGATAGTGAGCCTGAAACACGCTGGACATGCACATGAGTGACCAAGATCTGATGGGCTAGAAGACTGGAGAAGGGGATGGCAGCATGACCAGATCCCGTAGAAGGTGTTCCTCTTTCTCATTCTCTTTCATGTGTGCATGCACACATTCTATCAGGAATTTAAAAATATATATGCACACATACATATTAAAATGCATATATAATATACATATAACATACATGTAACACATTATTTAATGTGTATTTATTATATACCAAACATGTATTAATATTTAATATATCTTAATATTTAATATATCTTAATATATTATTTCTTAATATATTATATATTAAGGAGGCCTACCTGGTCCTAGGGATTGCAGCCACAGGATTTGTACAAGGGTTTCATAAGACACTGGTTTATTTATGTTTGGAGGGAAAAAAGTAGAGCTACAAGAGTCTCTTTTCAAAGACAAAGCTGAACCTAGCTCTTCCTACCAGCAAGTAAGTATTATATATTATATATTAAGATAAATATATCTGCAATTCAAATCCCTGAGCTAGTCATGGATTTAATATGTATTTATTATATACAAACATGTATTAATATTTAATGTG